AAAGACGAAAAAAAGGAGGGGAGGACGGCAGGTCAGCGACTAATTGACCACGAACCAAGTCGTATAGATTCTAATGCCGCCGGAACCAGTTGATTTGGAGTACGGATGAGAAAGTTATGCTCGACTTCGTGGACAATACCGAAGATGTTGAGGGATCCTCTCTTCTAATTTTATTTTATTTTCCTAATTGCAACTCTTTTCTTACTCTTTGATCATTTTTGCTTCATGGACACCTAATTAGCAATTTTTACCTATAAGATACTAAATCCACCAATTAAAACAGAAATATAAATTAATCCATAAAAAAATCCACGTAAACGAAAACGTTTAGTGTTATTTCTACACTCCACTGTATCTTTTGTATTTAGTGTTTTTGCTATTGTTTGGTTATGCGTATTAAAGTCCTAGTGTTGTGTTTCGTGTTTTTAAGAACGTTGTTGCGAATGTACTTTTGCGCAAATTTTTTTACATGTACGTTTGTGCATGTCCATTTGAGGGAGTGTGTTTGTGCATGTTTGTTGATTTGTATTAATGTCTTAGGATTGTAGTTTGTGTTTTCGTGATCCTTTTTGCGAATGCACTTTTGCGTGAGTACTTTTGTGCATGCATTTGCACTTTTACTTAAGTGCGTATATTTTGTAGCGAGTGTTTTTGTGCACGTTTATTGATGCGCATTCGTGTCCTCGAACTGTAGCACGTATTTTCATGATCGCTTTTGGAATCCAATTTTGACCATGTCCGAGTCCGAATTTGGAAATTTGACATTAGACAGGAATTGTAGCGACCTAAAATAGCTTTATAATGCCGCCGGAACCTGTTGATTTGGAGTCCGGATGAGAAAGTTATGCTCGACTTCGTGGACACTACCGAAGATGTTGAGGGATCCTCTCTTCTAATTTGATTTTCTTTTCCTAATTGCAACTCTTTTCTTACTCTTTGATCATTTTTGCTTCATGGACAACTAATTATCAATTTGTACCTATAAGATACTAAATCCACCAATTAAAACAGAAATATAAATTAATCCATAAAAAAATCCACGTAAACGTAAACGCTGAGTGTTATTTCTACACTCCACTGTATCTTTTGTGTTTAGTGTTTTTGCTATTGTTTGGTTATGCGTATTAAAGTCCTAGTGTTGTATTTCTTGTTTTTAAGAACGTTGTTGCGAATGTACTTTTGCGCATATTTTTTTACATGTACGTTTGTGCATGTCCATTTGAGCGAGTGTGTTTGTGCATGTTTGTTGATTTGTATTAATGTCCTAGGATTGTATTTTGTGCTTTCGTGATACTTTTTGCGAATGCACTTTTCCGAAGATGTTGAGGGATCCTCTCTTCTATTTTGATTTTATTTTCCTAATTGCAACTCTTTTCTTACTTAGCTTGTGCTAAGCATTCTTACTTTCCGTTTGACATTAGCTTTTAGATAAGCATTCTTACTTTCCTTTTGGTATTAGCTTCGAGCTAAACATTATTCCTCTCCTTATGCAATTTTTTTTTTTTTTTTTTTTAAGAGAACGACACCCGATGAGGGTGGGGGGTTAGGCTTGACCCCCTACCTGTTTATAAAACAATATTTAAGAAGTACATAATGAGTTTTGCTCAAATTGCTACTGCCCAACATATGGCTAATAATAGCAGTTGACAAACAAAAGACAATAGCTAACTAACAAAACGTTAAGAATACGGGCAAACACAGGTGGCCCAAATAATAAAAGGGACGGGTAGGGAATGATCATAGAAGGTCGTGGAAGACCAAGGTAGACCGTTCGCCTCACCACAACAGCCGAGGCCACTTACACTTTCGCCAAAAATGGGCGAAACTGGTATAACGGCTGCGAAATGTGTGGCACCATTCGGCAAACAGTCTAGTCTCGATAGACCCAAACAATCCATAATAACCCCAACCCTTCCTAACATGTAAAGTTTACGAAAATTCCTAAATTGCCAATAATATAAAAAAGTGGAATGCATGGCACCTATGTGCGAGAATGTCGTCGAAAGGATGGATATCCAAGCTGGTCCATCCGAATCATCTGCTGAATAGGTCGGGGAAGCTCCGCTGTTGTGAAGGTACGAGCCAACTCGGTCTGACACCCCAAGTTAGCTAATGCATCAGCTACTGTATTGCCCTCCCGGTAGATATGTGTAATCCTGTACTCCAAAGTAGAAAGAGAGTTCCGGATCGCCGTGAGAGAACTCTGAAGACTCCAATGACCTTGGTCCGTGTGCGAAAGAAGTCGAACAGCGACTTCTGCGTCAAGCTCGATCCAAACTCTAGTGAATTGCCTCTGAATAACAAATCGCAGCCCCGAGGCAAGGGCAGCAAGCTCGGCTGCAATACTGCTCGGGGCAGAGATCCTCTCGTGAAATGCAAGTATGGCCTCAGCGTCCGAACCTCTGATAATCCCGCCAATAGCTGCAATCTGGGTGGATGCTCTACGGGCTCCGTCTGTGTTTAGCTTCACCCAACCCGGATCCGGTGGAAGCCAAACAACTCGATGAGGTGTGAGAGTTGGTGTTCTCACTCGGTAATATAGGCCAAGAGACTCAGCCACGTGGGGAATGCCAGTCCAGCTGTCCGCCGAAAGTAATTTGGTTTGGTGAAGAATCCTGATGTGCTGGATGACCCTGTAAATGATGGAAGAAGCGCGAACCGTGATATCCTTGTGCTTGCTATCATTTCTTGCAATCCATAAGTACCACAAGATCAAGCAAGGCACAATGGTTGTGATGTGTGTGTGGTGTGTGAGTGTGTGCGAAGTGAAGTGCTGCCAATAAAGTAAAATCTGGGGTATGTGCGTAGTGTGTGCAGGTGTATAGCCAAAAAGATAGAAAAAATGATGCCATACCCTCTTAGCCGTCGGGCTCTCCACGAAGATATGATCAATCGACTCAATAGAAGGAGACTCGACAGACAGAGATACAAGACTCGACACAGGGATAGATGGATCTGGACAACAATAGCACCTCGAGGCAAGAGAGGTGCCTCGAGACTGAAGTTTGGTATCCACTGGAAGACGCTGAAGAAGAAGACGCCAAAGAAAGATAGAAATTGTAGGAGTAAGACAAGATCCCCAAAATATACGAAGAAGAGGGGTAGGGGTATGGTGTTGTCGTATCAAGGCCCAAGCCGAGGTCAAGGAAAACTTGCCATCCGAAGAAGCTCTCCAAATGGGCAAATCACCCGAAGCACCAGAGATTGGGACCGAGCAAATCCTATCGATCCACTCAAAAGGAATATCCTCAGCTAGCTTGTTTCGATCCCACTGACCGTTGACCAAATAATACTCCACACGAACTGATGTTAGCCGACCACCATCAATAATGCCCGAAAGGGGACCATCGCCAAACCAGTGGTCGTGCCAGAAATAAACATGACCTGGACCAATCCGCCAAAATATTTGAGCTTGAACACGCTCTCGGACATGGCACATGCGCTTCCACACCGTGCTATAGAGTGAAGACACAACGGATGAACCTGGGAACCGATTCCGACAATACTTGTTTCGGAGAAAACGGGCCCAAAGAGAATCCTGAGCACGGAATCGAAACCAGAGCTTGTAAGTGAAGGCGTCAATCACATCCGTCAAACGCCTCAACCCCAAGCCACCCTCACTAATTGGCCGACAAATCGTCTCCCAAGCAACCCAATGAGGCCGGCGCTGATTACCATAAGATCCCCAGAGAAATCGGGCCATGCACTGCTCAATCTGCTGAATAATGTACTGCGGAGGTTGAATAACCTGAACAAGATGCAAAGCCATAGTCGAAAGCGTACTCCGGATCAAGGCAAGACGGCCCCCGAAAGCCAAAGCGGTCCGAGCCCAACCCGAAATCCTGGCTTGCATGCGATCAATCAAAGTGTGAAACAAACTGCCCCGGTCCCTCCCTTTGTATAGTGGAGCTCCAAGATAAATGATAGGAAGATCCTTTCTCGGATAACTGAGAATCCGAGAAATAGTGCGAAGATGACCATCAGAACATGCCCTATCAACTGTGAAAGTGCTCTTGTGCACACTAATCAACTGACCCGAAGTCCGACAGTAATGATCGAGAAAATCCCGCAGCTTCTTCAGGCCAAAATTATGGCACGAGGTAAATATCATCACATCATCCGCATAGGCCAAATGGGATATAGGGATGCCTCCCCTTGTAGAATAAAACATGCTTGGGCAACGGATGTATAGTGCATCGAGACCTCTCGAAAAATACTCAGCCGCAAGTACAAAAAGAGTCGGCGAGAGCGGATCTCCCTGCCTTAGACCACGAGACGAAGTGAAATACCCCGTCAGCTCCCCGTTGATTAGTAAAGAGAACTGGCACGAGGAAACACATCGCCGAATAATATCAACCAAGTTCGCCGAGAAACCAATCAGCTCGAGTACACGAAATAAGAACCGCCACTGAACCCTATCATAAGCCTTTGCCATATCCAGCTTCAAAATAAGATTTGGATTTCGACAACGAACTGATATCGAGTGGACCATCTCTTGTGCTAATAAAATATTATCACTAATGAGACGACCCTGAACAAACCCACTCTGAGAAGGAGAAATAATGTGGGGCAAATGAGGTGCCAGTCTGTTCGTAAGTACCTTGGTGATAATTTTATTGGTCACGTTGCACAAGCTAATCGGGCGGAAATCTGTCCAAGCCGTCGGAAAGTCCACCTTTGGAATAAGAACCAAGGTGGTAGCGGTGAAGCTCGCAGGCATAGATCCACCCTCGAAGAAATCCCAAACCGCTTCACAAACATCACACTGAATCAAGTCCCAACAATGCTGATAAAATAGCGAAGAATACCCATCAGGACCCGAAGCACTATCTTGACAAATCCCAAACACCGCATCTTTGATCTCCTCAACCGACGGACGAGTAGAGACTGAAGAAAAGTCCCTTTGAGGAGCGGAAAATAGGGACTCATCAACCGGAAGCAAACTAGGCATATCATCGGTAAGAAGCTTGCTAAAGAAATCAACGCCCGAATCCTTGATCTCCTGAGCTGATGTGAGAACCGAATCACCATGAGAGATAGAGTGGATTCGATTGACACATCGCTTTTTCTTGACTAATGAGTGGAAAAACTTAGAGTTTCTCTCTCCATCAGTCGCCCATCTACAAGCTGCCTTTTGCTTCCAAAAGTCCTCCTCAATATTGAGCATGAGAGTAAGTTCAGCAGTGGCCTTTTTCAAATTTGCACGATTCTCGGGGGATCGATCCAAGTCATATATGTGCTCGGCCTCTAGAACAGCTGCCTCGGCCCTCTCTTTATTCTTGAACACGTCCCCGAAAACATTCCAATTCCACCACTGAAGCTTCTGTTTCAATCGTCTCAACTTCGTATGTAATCGATGCATCCCCGTCTGAGCACACGGAAAGTCCCAAACCTGTTCCACAATCTGACGAAACGTAGCGTGGCGGATCCACATATGTTGAAACCGGAATGAAGCAGGAGGCCTAGACGAAGAAGCAGCCGATGAAACCAAAAGAGGAGCATGATCCGACCAGGTCCGTGAGAGGTGGGTAACCTGCGTAATAGGCAGTAAATCTAGCCGCAGAGTTATATAGATCCTGTCCA